TTTAAATGCATTTATGAGTATACAAATAAGAATGTTGAGGGGGAAAAATGCATACTTTTCAACAAACTTCTCAGCTGAACTACCAGTGAGTGACGGTAAGACAATTAATGAGTGAGTATCGAGTCATTCATTCAGCTGATTGAGTGTGTTATCATGCTGCTATCTTCAGGACTTTCGTGGACAACTGACTCCTAAAGTTTTTGATATTCTTCATATTCTGTGTGTTTAAGTTTAAATAGATTTGTACCTTTTATGGGCATTTTACCTTTATAAAGCCATTTTTCTATAAGTGTGCATTATCTTTTGAGTCAGATTCTTACATTTAATCAGTGAATAAGAATAAGACATTTGGGCTGTTACCAAGCAAATGAAATCAGTATCAACAAAATTCATCTTTGCAATCCAGACATAAGCTGCATCTGAAGTGGCATTTAGATGCGTTTACACGCTGTTTAATGCAGGACATGAATGCATTTAACCTGATGTTACAAATGCAGAAATAATGTTTTGATATATTAAACATAAAAAAAAACAGGCAATATGGTGTCTAAAACGTAAGTCTCTTAATAAAACTTATAGTTTATTGAACTGTTGTAAAAAATCTATATCACATTTGTATATGGTCATTTTTGGAGAAAAAAAGGTCTTCCGTGTGAACTCGAGTATAAATATACACATTTTCTGCCCCCATGTCCTGTATTTGTGATCATTCTGAATGTATTTTAATAGACTGAATCATGCAGTGAAAGAGCGCACTAGACTTCACGTAATGCGTGCACTCTGTAGCTGTTTTGAATGTTTGTTTGTTTTTGCGTCGTGAGAATATTGAGCAAAATAGCTCACTTGTCATGGTGTTATTTAACTATTATCATGTTATGAATAAACTACACATTTTGAATTCTTACCTCGGTGTGTTTCTTCTGAGTTTATGTGTGCGGTCACACTAATTTGTTCTGCAGTCTCGAGACAAACAGAGTGAGACTCAGCGCGAGCTTGTATTCTGTGTTCTGCTAACTTACTGCGATTCTCTCTGATGGCGCAGTAACTTACCACGGGGAAGAAAACATCTTCGGTCTGTCCAGTGATTGTAAAGTCATTAGCACCGTCAGACTGAAGATATTTTAGCGGTAATCAGACCAAAAATAATTAAGACCCATCGAATCCGAATTTAAGACATTTTAAGACTTTTTAAGGCCTTATATTAGGAAAACGTTATTTAAGACTTTTTAAGGACACCTTGTATTCAGTCTCATTTGACAGAATCTGTGAAACCAACATCTGGATGTTTGGGACTAATGCCGAGGTCACACTGCACGATTTTACCAACACTGCAAAAAATTATTCTCTTACTTAACATTTTTGTCTTGTTGTAAAAATTCTTGAATCAAGATGCATTTACTGGACAAGCAAAATTATTTAAGATATTATGTCTTTGGTTTTCTGTAAAAAAAAAATCCATATTTTGTTAATTTTTTCCTTAAAACAAGCAAAAATATCTGCCAATGGGGCAAGAAAAATAATCTTGTTTAGCCTTTGAATTAAGATTATTTCTTACTCCATTGGCAGATATTTTTGTTTGCTAAAATAATTTTTAGCAGTGAACGATTTTCACTTGCCGTCAGGTTTTGCGAAATCGCCGACAAATGCCCAAAATCGAAGGCAAAACAGTTCAAAATCCTGCTGTGTGAAATGAGTTCTGCCTGAAAAACACATCGCGATGACCTACAGCCAGTGAGAGAGCTAACTGAGATCTATATATTGTTTAATGACAATTAAACCTGTCAACTTTCACTTTCTCTAGCAATGACCCAAAACACAATGGGCTGCAAACTCCAGCTGATTAAACCTCTACATGTGATGTCATGACCCATTGTCATTGATTTAAAGCAGACACGAGCAGAAGGGACGGCTGCAGACTCACCTTCACAGACAGCGTGTGCGCTACGATCCCGTCGACTGTATTCTGAGTGAACGGGTCAAACTGTTTGTCCGTCCGTCGCATGAACTCTGGCTTCAGTCTGTAGCCGCACTTCCCGTTGTACTCAAAGATGCCCAGATTCAGCTGCATGGGCAGATCTGCCAATCACACACACACAAGACCCACGAAACCAAGCACATTAGTGCTAATACATGACCAAACCAGTCAATAATTGGGACGGTGCGCTGGGACGGAGATGCACAGAAGAGAAGAGGGCATTTCTATGAGCAACTCCCATCTGAAGAAAAGCTTCATATTACAGGCTTTAAACAAGCACACAGTTTAAAGTGGCTTTGACCTGTCAGGGGAGTGAGCTGAAGGTACCTATGGTCTGGAAGTTCAGAGCGACCAGCTGACATCCGGCGTTCCAGAAGACCTGAGGCATGTAGTTCGAGGAGTCCACTCGAGTTCCTTTGGGATAAATTCTGCTCAGCTGCAGTTTATTATACCTGCGTGAAGGAGTTAAGTTTCTCTGACAGAGGATGGAAAGAGCTTTTACACCTTTTACACAATTTCACTTCATTTGAAAGACTGTTCCACCTGCAAAAGTGCAATAAACACAAAAGATACTCGACGAACTCCACGGGCGATTCTTTGAGCAGCTCCAGCGCTTTGGTCTCCACAAACGATGACATTTCATAACTTCGATCGATTTCTGTGGCAGACGAATGAGAAGAGTTACTGATCTTACAGCGCAGCTGCGTCAAACACATCTCAAGAACTGACTGACTTACTTTTGCACGCCTCGAAGGAGTTGAATTTAACAGGCTGAATGTAGTTGACTAAGTTGGACATCTCCTCTGTGGCGAAGGCTTCATTTACCGTCCCCTACAGACAGCAGAGACACGCGTCACTCCAGCGGCGTACAGATCCAGACTCACACTGTTCCAGGAGTAACCATAGATCCCCATTCAGAAAACGTTCTCAATCTTGACCAATGACGAATCTCGACACACTCAGTGATGAAATGATGTGCCGCAGCGACAGACACTATACGTTTAAATGCAACACTTATGATATAATGCGGAGGCCTCAGAGGTTTCATCATGTCAGTGCGTGTAATATCAAATCATGAATTCAGTATCTCGTATGGAAACAAATGGTGAGACGAGACTTATTACACCCAGTGTTGGGGAAAGTTACTTTTAAAAGTAATGCATTACAATATTGCGTTACTCCCTAAAAAAGTAACTAATTATGTTACTTACTTTTTATGGAAAGTAATGCGTTACTTTACTTTTTAAATCTGGGCAGGGCTTGTTTTTAATATAAGAAGTTCTTCTTTCACAAATGTAAAGTCCTCTCACAGCAGAAGTGAAGTGAATGCGTCTCAGGCTGAAGGAAATGTAAATTCTGGTCTGTACAGTAGAGGGCGCCGCTCAAACACATCTCATGAAGAATATGACGCAGCAGAAGAACGTTCAACACTATTCAGCAATAACTAAAAACACAAACGTGTCTTTTTTGCTTAGTATGGTTGATTTGGATCTTCGAAGGTCAGCAGCAAAAACACTGGTTGTGATTGTGAAATAAATTATATTTGTCTTATTTAAGGGGAAGTCGTGGCCTAATGGTTAGAGAGTCGGACTCGTAACACAAAGGTTGCGGGTTTGAGTCTCGTACCGGCAGGGATTGTAGGTGGGGGGAGGGAATGTACAGCGCTCTCTTCCACCTTCAATACCACGACTGAGGTGCCCTTGAGCAAGGCACCAAACCCCCAACTGCTCCCCGGGCACCGCAACATAAATGGCTGCCCACTGCTCTGGGTGTGTGTTCACTGCTGTGTGTGTGCGCACTTAGGATGGGTTAAATGCAGAGCACTAATGGCCACATGTCACGTCACTCATGTTCAACATATTTAATTATTGCAGGTTTGTATAATATTTGACAGTTTTAACTAATTTTGAGGAACACTGAATCTGTTTTAATGCAGGTGAGATGAGAAAACGTTGATATTGAGTCTAGAGCTACAGTAAGATCATGTTCACACACAACACTCTGCACTCACTCCTGATTTCTGTCTCCATGGCAACACCAGAGCTGTCACTCAACACACGGAAACTAAGTAACTGTTACTGATTTGAAAAAGTAACTCAGATATTTCCTTCTAAAGTAAAAAGTAATGCATTACTTTACTAGTTACTAGTTAAAAGTAATCTGATTACGTAACTTGCGTTACTTGTACTGCGTTACCCCCCCACACTGATTACACCCCTTAAAAGTACTGTGAATGGAGAGTATTTACTGCAGGGTTCCTCAAATCTTGCCCTGGAGAGCCAATGCGCTTGAACTCCAACCAACCCTGATCAAACTCACCTACCTGTGATTATCTAATGATCCTGAAGACATTAATTAGCATGCTCAGGTGTGTTTGATTAGGGTTAGAGCTAAACTCTGAGGGAAAGTGGATCTCGTGGTCCAGATTTGAGGATCCCTGATTTACTGAGATCTGATGCTGTGCTGCACTGAAACACCACTAGATGGCACTCTACACACACACACACACACACACTCTCTCTCTCTTTCACACACACTCTCTCTCTCTCTCTCTCACACACACATACACACACACACACTCTCTCTCTCACACACACATACACACACTCTCTCTCTCACACACTCTCTCTCTCACACACTCTCTCTCACTCTCTCACACACACACACAAACACACTCTCTCTCACTCTCTCTCACACACACACACTCTCTCTCTCTCTCACACACTCTCTCTCTCTCTCTCACACACACACACACACACAAACACACACTCTCTCTCTCACACACACACACACACTCTCTCTCTCACTCTCTCTCA